TAATTTAATTTAAGTTTAATAATGAAATAATTTATTTTTGGTTTAATAATATAATATTTTATAAAGATGATTATTAAATATTTTGTTAGAACTCAATGATTATCTTAATTATCTTTTAGATTTTTTATATTTAAAATGAGATTTTTATCCTGTATTTGATTATGTTTATCTGCATTTAGTTACACAAATTTAGATATGAAGCTTTAATAAGTTGTACTTACATACAATCTACTTGTATTCTTGAGTTTTAAGTAATATACATTAATAAACAGTGTTTTATACATTAAAAATGGTTTTTAATAGTTTATGTAAAATGGTTTATAATATAGTATAGATAATAAGATTCGTACAGTAAAAACAATACATTCAAATGGACACGAAAAGAAATGAAGTAAATAAAACAACCGCCAAGACCGGTCCTCCGGTGGCTGCAGCGGCGGACACCACTAACTGAATGCTTCCTTTCGAAACCCTCTCGCCGGAGTTGGCATCCACAATCACGTCGGCACCCATCTCCAAAACATGCGTATTATGGTCAGCCAACAACTTGAACCTATAGCTGAACATCAAATCAACCCTAAAACTCACCACCTCCGCCGGAGTAGAATTCAACTCTCGACGAGTCTCCGTCAAACTCTTACCGTCATCTTCTCCGTAGACCACCATAGAAGACGGCAGTTGCAGTTGGTTCCTAAGAAGACTTCGGACATGTTCATAACTCTTGCCGTCAGTCTCCACCACCTCTTGGGTATCTTCTTGTTCCTCGACCACCATAGATGGCGGCCGGAGATGGTTTCCGATGAGGGTTATGATATGTTTACTCTTGCCATTACCTTGATAAAAAGGTGGCACGGTGTATTCCCATACGTATTTCTGGTAGGGTTCGTCAATTGGATAGTAAGAGAAAGCAAGGGTGAAAGGGTCATCATAGTAAAGTCCGGCGGCTTTGTTCATGTTTCTGAGTTTAAGGTCGATGTAAATGTCGCCGGAGATTTGATCGGAAGTTTTGTTAAACGCCGGAACTGAGAATTCTTCGATTGAGAGCTTTGGGGGGTTTGGTTCTGTGTAGAGACACGCAAGAACGACGATCACAATGACGACGATGCACATCATGCATACAACATAGACCCTAGCATCAGTAGTCATCTTGAGACAGGGAGAAGTAAGAAACCAATTGGACTTGAAGAGATTTATTTGATTCTATATAAAGAGTTTGGGTTTATGTTATATCGGTTGTTTGTTTACCTCTTAATAGTTTCATAAATCTTTTAAATAATTTGAAGCGCCAAATATGGTAGCTTGTTTTAAAGGGTTTTTATTGATTTTTTTTATATTTATCTGTATTATATTATAAAGCATTCGGTCAATACTTTTAAAAATTATTTTTATACATAAAGTACTGTATATTACTTAAAATTCGAGATTACAACTAAATTGTACGTAATTATAACTTATTAAAGATTAATATTTGAATTTGTGTAACTAACTGTAAATAAACATAATCAACTATAGAATAAATATCTAATTTTAAATATAAAATATCTAAAATGTAATTAGGATAATCATTGAATTACACTTATAAGTTATAATAGAATACATAATTATTATTCTTATAAAAATTATATTATTAAACCAAAATAAATTACTTCGTTATTAAACCTAGGGTTAAATGCATGAAATAACAACCTACTTTCATAAAATTTCTTATTATAGCATTCTACTTTTGTTTTTATTTATTACAGCAATGTACTTTCAAATTATTTTTTATTAAAACATTGTACTTTAAAACATCTACCCATAATAACAATGGGTAACCTGTTACCTTTTAAACCGGTTAATCTTTTGACTTTTTAGCTTATGTGGCTTTAATGAGGTGATGTGGATGCCACATCATTTTGATGACTTAACAAAAATTAAAATAAAAACCTATTTCAAATTATTATTAATGATTTTCATTTTTCATTGCTATGATTTAAAAAAATTTAATTTTTTTATACTTTTTCTTATTAAATTGCACTCAAATTAAATATTCTTAGAGTAAAATATTTATTAAATAAATATGAAACATTATTTTCGAGATATATTTGTTTGTAAAAAAGGTAACTTTTCCTATTTTATGTTGTTCAAATAAATACATATCTTTTAAAGTTCTCTTTAAAATATTAACGAAATAAATTATTGTCTATAATTTTTTAATATTGTTATATTAATAAATAATTCAAAAAAGTTTAATTAATTTTATATATTTATACGTCAAGTGTAAAGTTTTTAAACAAATATAATATATATTCTTTAAAAGATAATATTTTTTGGTAAAAAAAGTAACAATTCTTATTTTTCTTTTTTCAAAAAACACATTTTTTTAAAAATTGTTAGCAAGATAAGTTGTATTCTACTAGTTTTATTGATATTGGTATATTAATGAATAATTAGAATTTTTTTAATTCATTTAATACATTTATTAAATAACATGTAAAATATCTAAATATTAAAATTAAAAATACAGTGTTTAATAAGAATTAGTAGATGCTATAATAAAATAATTTTGAAAGTACAATGATGTAGTAAGAAAATTACATCACTATAGTACATGTGGACAACCTATGTGGACAATGAGGTGGCATGGAAACCTAGTATAATGGGTAAATTTAATTCAAAAGGTTACCCAATGCTATAATGGGTAAATTTTTCAAAGTACAATGTCATAATAAAAAATAGTTTAAAAGTACATTGCTGTAATAAGAAAAACTGAAAGTACAATGTTATAATAAAGAAATTTATGAAAGTAGATTGTTATTTTGTATATTTTACCCTTAAACCTAAATTAAATTATAATTAAAAATTGAATTAAAAAAATTACCTAAAGAACGAGAATTTTTAAATAATCAATTTCATACTATTATCAATATATTTCTTTTTTAAATTTTTATGAATATAAACATTATTGTTTTCTCAAAATCACATAAAACCGTATTATATCGACAACGACAATAAATAAAACAAAACATTATCTCAATGTATCTCGTTGCATTGTGCGAGTATCCTTCTAGTATTAAATATGTTGTGAGTCTGAAATTAGATCGCACAGTTCTCACAAATTAGAAGGATCTCAAAAGAAGGTCCCATATATATATGGTCATTCAATGGAGAACTAGTTAGTTTATGATAACTGTGAGATCCAGTCTTATCCACTCAATTTAATAGTCAATGATTAAAAAATATATTACTAAAATCCCAATAAAAACAATCAATCAATTAATAGGAGATATTGAATAAGGGTATAATAGTCATTATACTTTATGAATTATGTTGATCCATTTTAGGAGCGGTCCAAGAATCAAGTAATCATATCAATAGTAGTTAGGGGTCGTTTACTAAACACTTACTTGGTAAGTACTTAAGAGATAAAATTTTTCATCGGATGAACATGAGAAGGGTCAAGAATCTTACCGGGTAAGATCGATGAGAATGATGGAGAGTCTTACCCGGTAAGTGAGGATGACGACTCTTACCCAGGTAAGCGCTTACCCACTAAATTGTTGCATTCGATATACTAAAATCTTACGCATCAAAATAAATCATAGTGTTGACTCATATCGGTAAGCGCTTACCGGGTAAGCAATCAGGTAAATGGCCCCTTACTCGATTATTGCTAAAAACAATTTCCAGAAAAGATTTCCCATCATCGACCAGTAAAACCTTAAATCAGACGACATATTGAATATACAAACCCTAGAAAAACTTCTAAATGCAATGCTAAATCGAGAAGCTGACTAATGGAAGAACACGAAGGAGGAGGTATTACATGTTATCTCTTCTTGATTTCACAATGAACCACACCGTTCTTACAATTTCTTGTTTTTCTTGAACATGATACATCGCGAATTGGCGCATGTTGTTTTCATATTGTGTGGTAAAATGTGGTCGACAAAATTGTGGTTCATTGTGTTAAGACAAAATTGGGTGAACATTATGTTGTGATGTTTATAATTGAATATGATATTTTTATTCAACATATTAATAATTCAATTGAGTTTTTTTTATTGGTTTTAGCATATCATCGAAGGACGACTATGATTGGTTGACCGTATTTCCACGAAATCCCTGTCGATGGAAATATATTTTCCTATAAATTAGTACAGAAAAACCCAAAACTGTTTTCATCTGAATGATTTATTTTGGTTTTGAAATTCTTTTCCACACACTTAAGTGTGTCCCTATCTATAAAAGTTTCTGGATCCGTCACTGGTCTTGGTCTATAATTTTAAATCTTTTTTCGGACCTTGATGAAAAATGTAAATTTTTTTGCTGACCTGGATAAGAAATGTAAAATTTTTACGTACCTGAGTGAAAAATGTAATTTTTTTGGACAAGAGTAGAAGTGTTCTTTTTTTTTTTAATCTTTTAACTAGGTCCACAATTACGAACGTAGATCGACCTGTAACTATTTTAATAAACTTGGAGAGAAAATAACTAAAAGACGAAATCAACCTTAAAAAATAATTATTTTATTTTAGAACATGAAAGACGTAAAAAGTAACATGTGCCCTCCATTTATTTTTACAACTAAGACCATCCACATCCCTGCAATCCATTTACACTTTCAATTGTGTCACATCAGCTTTTGCAATTATCTTCTACACACCTGCAATTCACCTACAACACTTTCAACTGTGCCACGTCAGCTTTTGTAATTACCACCTACACACCTGCAATTCACCTACACTTTCAAAAGTGGTCCCCACTACAACATTTATTAACTATTTATTTGTGTTGTTTTGTTAGTCGTGCGTGTTTTATGTTAGTTATATGTAATTTTATATATTAGATTATAATTTTATGTCATTATAAATTTTAATGTTTAAAATAATTTAATTTATTATATAATTAATGTAATTAAAAATATATTAACATTATTAATTTATAAAATTAGTTGTTTTGTATAAAAATAGTTTATTTAAATAATTAAAAGAAGAAAAATAAATTTGGAGGCAAGTGGGTGGCCCACGTGGCTTTCAAACTTCAAAGTGACTTGCAAATTTTGCAATTAAAAATCTACATGGCAGCAAAAGGGATGTGGGTTGTCTGACAAAAGTTTATTTACAATTCCATTTGCAAGAGGGATGTGGGTGGTCTAAGGCTTCTCATTAAAGCCACCATCTACTTTTATATAAAACATAAATATTTTTAACACATGTTTTTATTTTGGGAAAATGACAAAACTAATTACTTTATACAATTCTCTTACACAAAATAATCAGGTTTTAGAGATTTTACAAAACTAACCACACAGATCTCTTCCGGAGGCGATCCAGCCTTTTTCTTAAAATTTTTTTTTTAATTTTTTTCCACTTGGGGCGAGCCACGTCATCGGATCGCCCCCGGGGGCGATCCAGGCTTTAAGTATTTTTTAAATTTTTTTTTAATACCAATTTCACTATAAATATCAACCTCCTATTTCATAATTTTTCACACCTTCCTTTTCATTTCTCTTCTCATATATTCTACTCTTACAACCCTTAACCCATTAAACACAATAAACCATCACAAAACATGAAATCACGTCAAAGTGATAATGTTTGTATGTATCTTCGAAGTGGCGGTAACATTTATATATATAGAGATGCATTACGTAAAAAAAAAAGATATAAGCGGTACAAAAATTGAAACTTCGTACTTTATAAGTATATATGCGTACGGGTTTTAACACGTACACATATTTACGTATATTCACGTACGTTTTACGTACGTATTTTTAACGTATATATGCATACGAGTTTTAACCCATACGCATATTTACGTATCTTCACGTGCGTTCTACGTACGTATTTTATACGTACATATGTGTAAGGTACGCATATTTACGTATCTTCACGTATGTATATACGTATATATATACCTACTTACATTTACGTAAAAAAAACGATATAAATTGCGGTAACGTATATATATATAGAGAGAGAGAGATACATAATGTAAAAAAACGATATAAATTATATATATTATATATATATATATATATGCATAACGTAAAAAAAAAAGCGACATAAATTGCGGTAACGTATATATATAGATGCATAACGTAAAAAAAACGATATAAATTGCGGTAACATATATATATATATATATATATATATATAGATGCATTACGTAAAAAAAAGCGATATAAACGGTACAAAAATTGAAAATTCGTATTTTAACGTATATATGCGTACGGGTTTTAACACGTACGCATATTTACGTATATTCACGTACGTTTTACGTACGTATTTTTAACGTATATATACGTATGGTTTAACCGCCACTTCAAACACACAAACATCATCACTTTGACGTGATTTCATGTTTTGTGATGGTTGACTGTGTTTAATGGGTTAAAAGTTGTGAGAGTATAATATATGATAAGAGAAATGAAAGGAAATGTGTGAAAAATTATGAAATAGGAGGTTGATATTTATAATGAAATTGGTATTACAAACAAAAGAAAAAAAAAATTAAAAAAAAAATACTTAAAGCCTGGATCGCCCACGGGGGCGATCCGATGACGTGGCTCGCCTCAAGTGGAAAAAAAGAAATTTAAAAAAAAAATTCTAAGAAAAAGGCTGGATCGCCCCCGAAATGTACGGATCGCCCCGGGGGGAGATCCGTGTGGTTAGTTTTGTAAAACCTTTAAAAACTGGTTATTTTGTGTAAGAAGGTTGTATAAAGTGGTTATTTTCATCATTTTCCCAAACTAACCACACGGATCTCCCCCGGGGGCGATCCGTACATTTTAGGGGTGATCTGGCCTTTTTCTTAGAAAAAAATTTAAAAATTTCTTTTTTTCCACTTGGGGCGAGCCACGTCAGTTTTTAAGGGTTTTACAAAACTAACCACACGGATCGCCCCCGGGGGTGATCCGGCCTTTTTCTTAGAAATTTTTTTTTTAATTTTTTTTCTACTTGGGGCGAGCCACGTCATCGGATCGCCCCTGGGGGCGATCCATGCTTTTTTAAATTTTTAAATTTTTTTTTGTAATACCAATTTCACTATAAATA